AAAGTGAGCAGTTGTGGAGTGAAACTTGAGGAAACCTGTAAGCTCCAAGGAAAAGATCAGGAAAACTATACAAACATCTTTTCAAATCAAACAGTGGTTATTGTGTTTATTATTCATCAAATATTACACTTAAACTAGGACTTGCTGACCTTTTTGATCTCATCTTCAAAGGCTTTTTGCAGGTACCTGTACCGTGCTATAACCTTGTTGATCACCTAAATGAACACAAAAAGAACATAAAAATGAGAATTTCAACTATGTTACAGTAAATTGGTTTGTTTAGTATAGTGCCATCCCTTAAGCTTAACAAATAAGACACAGTTACATGGAGTGAAATAGCTTATAATTTTTTTTTTCTATTTGTAAAAGTACATAAAGTCCGAGTATCATATAAAAACTTTAATTTAAAGCACACTATACCTGCACATATGTCTTGACATCATCATCATTGGCATCAAAAATGCATACAGATGTTTTCCACGTGGCTTTTTCACCTTCTTCAAGGATACTTCCACCAGGAGCTACAAAAAGATAAATAATTCATCTATCCTTGGTTGAATTCTCAAATGAACAAATGCTAATATCTTGAAACACAAAATAAATGCTTTCACAGCTTTAACCACTGAAATGCTTTTTCCTCTCAAGACAGTTTAAAACATACAGAATGGTATTAATGCCAATCCTACAGTATAGCAGGATAAGCATAGTAATGCATGTAATGCTAGTGATGCATGTATATTGGACAGATAAAATGAATTGTTTTTGCAGAGAAAAATCTACCTATCTATGGGTTAAAAGTACCTAGAGTAAAAATTTTTGCACAGCTTAGTTCCCTCAGATGCAGAAAAATTTCTTTAACCCTTTAACTCCCAGAAGTCATTGACATGTACATGTAGCTTCTCCTTACAACTTAAGATACAATATCCAACAAACAGGTAATGAGAAGACTCAAACTCATCTGGTATATATTGTAGAGGTTATTATCTTGATGTAAGACCAAATTCTCTTCACTAATTTACAAGGAAATGTCTAGAAGTTAGAGGAAAGAATTGAAAAATAGGTCTTAGGAGCTAAAGGGTTAACTCATCATACCTAAAACACCTCCAGCAAACAGTATGTCAAAGAGACACTCTCCATACAGTCGGTAGTTGAGCTTACTCCCCGACGAGTCCAAAAACTTATACACCTTTGATAAAGAACAAAAAAATATCATGTGATTACTTCTGGTGGAGAATACAACCCAGGTCAAACACTTGAATTTCACTCTCCTTCAATCAATAAATAACTAGCAAACTATAGCAAGCCTAGCGGCCTGTTGATACCAGAGCTTATATTTGTTTCTTGAGCATGAAAAGACAAAAATACTGTTTCCCTTCTGAAAAGGAAAGCAGTCCAAAACAAATAAACTTCCAGCAATTGAGGCAGGTGAGGTCGCCTAAGAGTTACCATTTGGTTAGCTAGAGCTGTGAGATTTAGACCTAGCTGAGCCATTGTGTTTTTTGTTTCCAAGCAAGGCATGCAACTCTTACAGCACCTCTTTCCAATCAGGAGTGCAAATGGGTATCAGTAAAAACCTGACGAAATGCTAAGGAAGGGTAATTTGTAAAGGACCAGCCTCCTATTCAGGGGAGTAGTAGTACTGTTAGTCACTTCATGCTACAGAAACTGAGATAAACTCCAGTTGGATGAGCCACTTGGCTCTGGTATACATATAACAGTTTTATCAGTACTGATGAGTTTGAGTATTCTCATTACCTGTTTGTTGAATAATGTACGGATAGTATAGGGAGAAGTTACATGTTTATCAGTTCTGGGTGTTAAAGGGTTAAAGGAGGATTTGCAGTAAGACCACAAAAATTTGATGTAGTGCAACATACCAATAATTCTGAGCAGTAAAGCACAGAGAAAGCTGATGGTATAACTAACCTGTTCTAGATCATTGTTACCAATATCCTGAAGCCCTTGTATTATAGCATCTCGAAATGCAAGAGGGTCTTGCTTTTCTTTTTCGTCTGTTGAGCAATTAAATGACATTAAAATCTGGTTCTTCTAACTTACATTTTTTAAATACCTCATATCGAAAACTGTTTCTCTCATTCTCCTCCTTAAATGAAGTTCTAGAACCATTTCCTTCCTCTTGCTCCAAAAAATATTTTCAAGTTTTTTAAAAATATGCAAAATAGATCAACAATTCAAAGAATTCACAAGTTCAAGTGAATCCATCAGGAAACTAAACAACTACTCATACTTTCTCTTGGCATAAGACCTAGAAAAAAAATAGGCATGCTGAAATCTGGTAAAAGATTGTAGATTTGGTGCACACAGTTCCATCAGCAATTACAACTTCTGCAAAATTCACCTCAAGAACATTTGCTTTAAGTTAAATCTTGATCAGAGAATTGCCCCTGAAACAGATACACCTTTAATATGTTGAGTATTAACTACAGTATCCGGAAATCTACAGGCAAAAATGAGTCAAATTCAGGATTTATGTTTATCAGGCTACGCTAGATGCATATGTCTGGATAAAAAAACTTAGTAAGTGAGTCATGATGTAAAAAAACGTTTCCTCTTGACAACATACATCATTTAATGTACATTTCTGATTAACTACATGTCCTGCAGCTACTACATAAATGGAAAACTCAAAACATTTCTTAACAGAACATACAACAAAACAGATTTAGCTTAAAAGCGAAATTGAAAATATTTGAATTTTTATCCGTTTCCTCACAAATTCGTGTTTTTCAACAGAAAGTGAAAGCAACACTGCTTTTGCTTCACATTCAGTGGAAAAGTTCTCTGAACGAAATGATGAGCATTACCCCAAAGTAAGGTTCGCGAAGTCGAGGTAAATTAGCTGACACTTAAATTCTGCGTGCACCACTTGTTAATTATAAGGAAATTAAATGACTGAAATGGTACATTAGTTACAAAACATATACCTCTTTTGCGGGTTCTGATCCGCTGGCCACTGAGTGTAGGTTTGGGTTGCTTTTGACTCATAAAACAACTGGCTGAAAATACGAGAAGGCACAAGTGAATAGTTGTTTCGTGAATCTTGAGAAAAATAACTGTACAAAATTGTGTGAAGGTCTGAGGTGTTCCTTAAGCAGATCGTATTTTCGCATCAAATTAAGCTTTCAGGCAGGCCTACTGAGATGAATGCTGTTTTGATCAACATAAATGTAACTGAAAAATTATTTAAGTTAAGGTGAGGCTAATGGGGTTGAGATACTGATCGAACGCTCGATTTCAAGAATGCGTTCAAACGGTAGTCGTTTCAAAAGCCGAAAAATAAAGAACGTCCAGCGATTGATCTATCCTTGGAAATTTTCACAGCACTGTCTTCGAACTAGAGGCCGAAAATAGGATTAATGTGAAAACATTTACACATCTAAGAAAACAGCACACAAAGCCCGAACAAACGCACGTAAAGATCAGAAAACATAATCATTTGCAAAGACCGTAGAGAAGAACTTAGTCACGTAAAATACAACGTTTCTGTTTCATACTACAACTCAGTTAAGGATTATTAGAAGCTATGATCACCCATAAACTGAAATCGCAACAGGGCCGGATTAAAGACATATATTAAGACTGAATAACGAAACTCCGTCTCAAGAGTGTTAATTTCAACGTGCGCGTAAGAAATTATGAAAGCTTCATGCTTTGAAACAATAAAGGAGCCCGATTGTTTGGTGAAATTTTTCTGTGGACCAGTTTGTTGGCTTGCAGAATTAATGAGTATACATCCTGCATCGAGAGATGATCAATGATCTTACCTGGAAACCGTTTAAAATATGGGAAAATGAAAGAAGTTGGGAATGTCGTCGAGATTCTCTCTTCACATCCGCTGTAATGTATGATTCAGTCGGAGCACGAGGGTGGCAAGCGTGCATTGTAGGGGACTGGTACCGAATCTGCAAAACCACCTTATATGGACACGGGGGATGTTAGGAGTTTGGGATGGGGCGCGGTCGGGGGCATGTCCACAACAACGTACATGTTAATGTGTTCCCGTCAACTTTTCGACAACAGTCACACTCTAGGAAAGGAAAAATATCTTCGAGCTTAAAATAAATTTGAACCTATGCTCTCGCCACCTTGTTGCTTTTCGGATTTGTTCGCGCTTACCTCTTGATGATAGTTCAACCAGGAGCCCATTGATAGATCCTTCTTCCGTAGAGAACCAACTGGTGTGCTCCCTGGAAAGGGAGATTCAGGAAATACGGATAATTCTAAGCTCGATAGTGGAATAAAGAAAATGTTCTTTGTCTTTGGGATGGACTCAGGGACTTAAATCTTTTATTTGCCGCAGTGGAAGAAGCTGCAGAAGAAGAAGCTTACTCTACTCTAATGAATAAAGGGGGGTAAGTTTCTAAAGAAACTGTGCTGTTGCGTCTGTGAGAGAGTATAACGGGGTAATTTAGTATTTTCAACCGAGTCATAACGCAAATTGGCCACCGTAAAGAGTTTGAAAGCTGACGTTTCGAGCGTTAGCCCTTCGTCAAAGCGACGATGAAAGGCTAACGCTCTTTCAAACTCTTTACAGTGGTGATGGTGACCAGTTTACGCTATTAACTCAATTGATAATACTAAATTACCCTGTTATACACTACCCTCAGACAGGTGACATAATTAGGAATGAGCTATACGAGTTACATGTTACCAAAGCAAGCTCAACCTCCAAGTAAGATCTGAAGTAAACCGATTGTTAAAAAAAAAATTTTAAAAAAATAACTCAAGTTTGTCTCATGCTCTGTCATTTCAAATGTTCGGAAATTTACCCTTCCTTTCCAAACAACTTCTTCCAAGTCATTGGCCCTTTGTTGTCCATTCACTTTTTTCTTACATTAACAGAAGGAAAATTAAAATTACCAGCTTGTAAGAAATTTAATTTGTCTCGCCTGAAGAAACCATTTCATGAATTTCTTCCGTAACCAAACATGAAGTCACTTGTCCTACATCACGTGACCCTTTCTCGCTCTGACCTTAAACATGGCGGACTGTATCGAAGAGAGATTCGACGCTGCAGTAAATGTAGTGAGATCAATGCCAAAAAAAGGTATCAGTGACCTTCTAGAGAAATTTTCCGAAAAAGCATGAATCATTCACTACATTAAGCGTGTTTTTTCTCCATAACGACGATATTCTGATTTATATTACAGGTTCTTACAAGCCATCTTACGAAACGATGTTGAAGGTACAATATACAATGTTGAAGTGGGACTAAAGTCCATTTACGAATTCTCTTTGGCGCATTGATCTAACAAAACTATATGATGATAACATAATGGTAGCCTTTCGATGCTGAAATTCGTTGTCATGAAGCAACTGATCGTTAAAAAATATGTTTTTGGTAATTTTATTAGCAAATACTTCGAGTTGTTTGTTCCAAACACACGTCTGAAGTCTTCGAAAGATTTTGTTATTTATTTAAATTTTGCTATAGCGTTGAGCTGGTGATGACTTTGAATGGTGAAAATATTGGGTACTTTTTTAATTTTACAACTTAATGGACGATCTCATTTCAAAAATTTTCAGCAAAATTCCAGGAATTGTAGTAATTACGGAAAATACGTGTGAAGTAGAATGAATTCGGCAGTTCTAGAAGTAAGCGCACACCTGTTCGAGCTGATCTTTTATGTATGTTGGTAGATCCTGTCATTCACTGTCCACTTTAAAGCTACAAGGTGTTTTCTCGTCGACAATATTGATTTCCATAAGCTTGCACATGATAGATAATTTTGATTACTGATTTTGTTTACTTTTTGTCTCTTATTTTTTATCTTATTTTTTTCACTTTTAGTTTTATGCATTTTACAAGCAAGCTAAGGAGGGAGAATGTTGTGAATCAAAGCCTGGATTTTGGGATGTTGTGAAAAAAGCAAAATGGTAATTTCACTTGTATAGCAGTCATTTTTTAATGGAAAGCAAGGCCAGAGGAAACAAAAATTCTGAAATCCAGCACAGATGCATGTAACATGGCTAGGACAGGGCTTTACCCATGGATCAAGAATTGAGCAAGAAAAATTACTTGCTTGGCAGGAATATCTCTGTGTTCTGGATGACTTTACTTTTTTCCTATCTCCTACTTTAGAAATATTTTTGTGGGGCATAGACAAATCAATGTTAGGGTTTTCAAAACAGTTTGTGTGCATTGTTTTTGTTTTTCTAATGCTGGTGTTTGTGTGACTTGATGTATGATAAAACTGTTGATTACAAAAACCCTGATACAACAAAAAATTTTGCTGTATAGTAAAACTTTGCTAACTTGAACTACCTTGGGAAACAAAAAGAGATACAAGTGAGCAGGGCTTAAGTTAATCGATAGAAAAAGACCAAAAAAATGGAGTAAAAGGATATTGGATCTTGTAGGAGTTACTGGAGATTTGTCAGTTAACAGAGCTCGAGTAGGGTTCTAATTTAATTCTCCTTACAGTTAAAATAATTTTTGTCAAGATAAATACTAAGTATGTACACGTAGTAATAACTCTACAGGTAGATTTGATCAGATTTTTATGCAGGGTAAATTTAGTTATCTTGACATGCTTTCATGTTAACACACCTATCAGCCAATGAGGGTGTGCCAACAATGCAATTTGATGTACAATTTCAAGTTAGTGATAAAGGAGTTAAACCAATTAATGTACAGTGATCACGTAATCTTGTCACCACTCCACTGCACATCAAATAACAAAAGGTGCTTTTGACTAAAATCAGAATGACAGTTATGCACAAGAATTTTACATTTGTTTCTAAGATTTGAAAGATTTTATTCTTTGGCTGAATACTGATAAGAATGATCAATTCTCCAAATAGATTTTTACTTTATTTTCTTTTACAGGGAGGCATGGCATGGCTTGGGTAAGATGACAAAGCAAGAAGCTATGGAATCTTATGTCCATGAACTAAAACAGGTATTAATAGTCTTCAAACAGGTTCTTCACACCTTACAAGGGGGCAGTTCCACCTGCCACTTGGCTTTTAGTCAAACCCTTAAGTCACTAGAGAACTGTCTCCAACTGTCTTTTACATTAGTGAATGTTTAAAAACAGTGGTACAAAATATTGATCACTTGATTAGGGACTATGGCTGACAAGAGTCCATCTCACAACTAGCCTTGTCTGTGAGAGTACTATACAGAACTTACCTATTTGGGGGACTTATTACCTTTTGCTAATGATATATTGCTAAATATGTAATACAATACTAAACATATGTCATTAGGTAATGGAAAACTTACCAGAAGGTGAAGAAGCAGCAGATTTTAGTGAAGTGCTGAAGACTTTTTACCAAGTAGTGTATGAAGGCCAAGAGGAGAAACCTCCAGCAGTTCTTAAAATCTTTGAGAAAGAAAGTGTTCCAGAAAAGATCAAAGCAACAGGAAAATTACAATCAAACTCACATCATACACCCCAGGATAAAAATGTGGTGAATGGTTATGGTAATGTACACAAGGTAAATGGAACATGTGAAGAGTTTTCTCATGGGGTGAATGGATTCCCTCACAAAGATAGCATGGATATGCATGCGCAATTTCCACACAGGGATAGTTTAGAACTCAGCAAGAAAGCAGGCATGGATTTAAAGCGACTGCAATTTTCAAAAGCAGTTAATCCAGTGCTTATAATATCTTCGGATGAATTAAAAGAATGTGATGAGGAAGATGAGAATGATGATGATAATGACAGTGGAATTCAAAATGGAATGTGTGAAGGTATGTATATGTGATTGTAGTGATGCAGTAGTTAAGTTTAAATTTCACTCCAAAAAATTTTTCTTTCTGCAATTAATCTTTCTACACTACTGAAGTAGGAATTAAACTACAATGGAAATTTCATTCAGAAATCCAGAATAATTGTCTCTTTCCCCTGGACAGAGGTGTCCCTTCAATTGAGGTAATGGATAGAAAGATCATATGAACATTTTTTTGGGACAGAAGTCTGTGTCCCCTGAATGGATGTGTCTGCTGATTAGAGTTGTTCCAAACAAGAGGTGCCATGTAGTTTGAAATTATTCTGACCTGAACTGTATTGTAAACTACAACATACACATGAAAGAAGTGACATCCAGATACCTGGTTATTATGTGGTGGTCCTCTTTTTTCAACTTCTTGATATCAACTTTATGATTTTAATTGCAGTTCCACCTTTGAGACCAAGTGATGCTGAGTCAGCAAGACCTAAAGAAAAGAGTGGAATTATTCTGACAAGTGACGAAAGTGAAGAGGATGAATTTTGTGACTCCCTAGATCCTGAGTGTCTGCGAGAATTACAAAATGGAAATCATTTGGACAGAGAACTGCCAGATCTTGATGCTGCATTGAAAAGGGTTGATTTGACGAAGAGAAATAGTCCCAGCAGCTCCCCTGAACATGTCACAAGTTCAACAATGTCAGAATCTGAACATTCAGATTTAGAGAGCGATTTGAAAAGTTTGGAGCTTTTAACAAGTACACCATATGCTAAACATGTGACTTTTGCCGTTGATGATACTGGAAATAGTACAACTACTGTAGTTAATTTGGATTTGTCCAAGGTTGAGCCTTCAGTCACTGAGGAATGCTTTTCTGAGGTCACTCCTCTTCTGGAGAACGGACATAATCACGAAACTAATGTAGATGTGACAGAGGACGAATCATATCTACCTTTGGATCAAGCACCTAAGAAACCATCAGGGATCCTTAAGTCACATTATTCTGTGAGAGAACATGGGGGAGGTGATGCTTCTCAACAGCCATCTGGTCGTGGTCATGGAGGTCGAACAAGACAGTCACAAGGAACTAGAACCAAAGAAGGTATTTAACATATAATGATTTAAAAAATTGTGTCAAGGTTGTAGTAATATTTGGTGACATGTCTTTCCATCATGTGTCTTACTAAGTATTTAATTTAAACTTGTTGTTTCTTGTTCTTAAATAAAGTTTGAGTTATCAGGATGGCAAATTTTCAACAAAAATGACATGAAAACAAAAAAAAATTGTCTGGTTTTTAGTTGATTTTGTGAAAGAACTATTAAGACTACCATGTTACCATTAAATTACTGGTAGTGACACCTTTTTTTTTTTTTTTTTTTTTTTTTTTTTTTTTTTTTTTTTCAGTAGCCTACCATAAAACAAACAAACAAACAAAAAACAACAATACTGCACATAGGGTTTGAGTCATCAGGAGTTAACTGTGCCTTTAACAATATTTTCACTTTCGTTTTAACCCTTTAAAACCCAGAAGTTATGAACTTGTAACTTTTCCCAATAATATACATACATTATCCAACAGGTAATGAGGATACTCAAACTTATCAGGTAGAAGTTGTTGTCTTGATCCAACACCAATTTCTCCTAACTAATTTGCAAGGAAATGTGTTGCAGCTAGAGGGGAGAATAAATGGTCAAATTCTGTGATCAGATCATGGGAGTTAAAGGGTTTATTAACCTCATTAAATAGTTTATAAAGCAACCCTATATTAATCCATCAGGGACCAGCTCTATGAGTGGAGTAAGTCGTCCATCAAGAGGGCACAGACGAAGGAGTGACAGTGACAGTGAAGATGAACTGACAAGTGATCATACAAGTGGCCCAGATTATGACTCAGCAGGTGACAGGGATGAAATCAATGAAAGGATCTTACAAGCTCTTGAAAGGCTTCATCAGGACATGAAAAGTGTGCTGCGGAGACTTAACACTATGGAGGAAGCACTCTTATCTAGACAGGTAGGTTGTCACATTTTGATAAAATCAGTTTTATGGGTTATTGCAGATAAAGAGGACTTTATTTATTTTCTTTTCCTCCTTATCAAAGGTCTCAAATAATACTTGTATGTCCTAGGGTATCTTACCCTTTAACCCATAAGAGTGACGAGCATCTAATTTCTCTCAACAAAATCACCTCTGAATCAAATAAGGTCACAAGAATAGAGGAAATGATCACCAACTAAAGCAGCTCTTGATTGTTAAACAAATTCTCCTGGTCAGTAACTTAGGAAATGTATAGAGAAAAGCATGGAGAATATGCATACTGATGTAATAGGAAGTAAAGGATAAGACTTGACTTGAGCCATGTTCCTTGAAATTTTGTTGGATCCCTCACAAGTTTTGAGGGAATTTCAAATTATCTTTGATATACTTAAACTAAAAAAGGAAATCAAACAATTGTGTGATGATTTTAGCCCAAAATTTATTTTCAACGGCTTTATTTTTAAGTTTTACAGATCTCAGCAATGATTGATAGAGCTCAGAATGTTATTACCAATTGATTATTTCCCATACATCAATAAATTGTCAAGATTACAGTTTCACTTGAAAAAAAAAGTGCAGAAACAATGAGAAGTAATTTTTGTTTCTTAACATTGTGACTCTAATATTAATAATAATAAATGTCTTTATTGCTCATTGGATAAAAATACATATGTAATGTTACAGGATAAAAAGATTCAAGGTTTAGCCAAAAATTACAATAGAATAAAATTACAATAGATTAGCATAGACTCTAGCATTGCCAATCTAGTAATACTAGAGATCTTTTGTATTGTTTAACTTTCCTTCATATAAATAGTAAATAATTAATCTGTGTTTATTTCTCTATCAGGATGTAGATCCTAGATCTGAGCAGGCATGGTGGAAATCTTACATTCCATCAAAGCCTTTGATGTTCCTTGTCCTGTGGCCTTTCATTGTGAACATCGTCTTTTATTACTTCAGACGAAGGAAGGTGAGACAAATTGACAAGCATATTTACAAACAAACAGCAGGGGAAAAAAATACTGTCTTAAACAATCACTGAATTCAATCAGAATAAAGGAAATGAACACTTGGAGCCAATGAGAACTCAAAGTGAAAACATGCAAACTGCCCAAGAATAGGAGACAATGGGTGACCAAGATGGGGCTGGTATTTAGGTTTGGTATATGAGAGGTTAAGAGGGTTGTTTGACTCACAGCTTAGGCATGGATAAGGGACAGTATGTTTAAAATTTCTTACTATGCAAGTTTTTGGTAATAAATTGAAATTGGACTTAACAGGTTTAATTTCTTCTTTATATCTGGCAGAGTTCACAGCAAAGATGATAATCACAAGCCTAATCACTCCATGTTGTGATAATTTATGGCAATGCCATGATGTGCAAGGTTATTGCTCATTGACTTCCTTTATTTAGTGGGTGAGGACTACTCAACAACAAGCACCATCAAAGGTCAACATTAGAAATACGAAATTCTGTTGTACTATCAAGAACTGGGGAATCACAAAAATGTTAGAGTGCGAATCTGGTCTCCAAAGAATTTCTTCTCCACTTCTGAATATTAACAAATACAGCAACAACAACAAAAACAACAAACAGGCTTTGTTTTTGGTACCATCATATTTATTGACTCAGTCAGACAAATACAGGTAGCATGATGGTGAACCAGCACATTATGAACAATACATTTATAAGTATTTTTTATAATTATTTGTGAAGTAAATTTCACTAATACTCTCAATGTAACAAAAACACATCAATTGAACAATATTAAGGTCATTCATTCACAATTCAGTCACCCATAAGTACCTTCTTGATCAACGACATTCATATTGCTTGTCCTGAATTCTGTCACATAGTATGATGTAGGTAGACAGACAAAAGTAATTTAGTATTAATTAATTTAATGTGTATTGACCATATACTTTGCATCATTTGTTTAACTCTTGTTCCCCCAAAGAGTGACTAGCAACACTTCTTACGTACAGTATCACTTCTGAATCAAACATTAAGGTCATGAGGATGAGGAAATTATCTCTGACTGAAAAAGCATGATTGTGAAACAAATTCACCATGTCAGTGCCATTGGAAATGTCTAGAAAACAGTGTGGAGAATATGCATGCTGATGTAAGGGTGTACAGGGTCAAGAGTTTGCTCAAGTGAAGGAGATGCAATTGGATATGTTGTGAACAGGTAACCTCATAAAAAAGAAGCAAGAATAAAATTGAAATACAGCTGACACCATGAAATAGCTCTCTCACACAAACACTCCTTTCTTAACTCTTTCTTGCTCCCAGGTGTTACCACTAAGTGAATTTTCCCTACGACATATTTACATTGTCAAGCAGTGAGGTGACGAGAAAAATTAAATGCATGAGTTATAAGGTGTTGCTCAATTAAACATGGAATACTCCAAGTAGAAATTGTAACAAATGTGTAGCAGACAGCAAGAAGAAATATTAATAACCTCTGGAATGAAAAGGTTCAGTCGTTAACAGTGCATTTGCCAGGCTATTGTGGTGATGCAACCATAGCTGACCTTTCATATTGTTGTATTGGGGTTTCTAGTTGATATCGTTTTGTAATATGATTTGAGCAGACACTTAGCACACAGTCACAGTTCACAGTTAGGCATTATGTACTGGCACCAGAATTAATCTTATTGGTTGTGTACTTGTGATACACTAGCAAAATCAGTTTCCAACTTTAGAACTGAATGGAGCTAAAGAATAATTCAGTTCACATAACACTCTTGTCAAATCCTACATGTATTCCCCATAATCACACTTTCAGCATTAACAGTGTTTGGTTTAAAGGAAATTTTTTTTTTGTTGATACATTGCGCTTTCAATGGGAACTGTACTGGTTTATTTACTGAGGTGTTTAATATCAATTTTTAATCTGACTGTGATATCACTGACTTCATAGGAAAGTCATTATTTAACAAACAAAGTGTTTTTAATGGAAGTGGTTTGAATGGGTTTTCACCCAAATTTAGATTATGCAATAAAGACTTCAAGTCAGTAAAGTTAAATCTGTATGCAGTCTTTTTCAAAGAAGTTGATAATTTTCTGAGCAGTGTGTTGGTCCAAACTACAGTCTAACAACTCTTCCTTGGTAGCCTGTGACACCCCGGTTACATTCTTGCAACCATCCTGCAGCACCAAGCATTCTTAAGATGTGTAGTTAAGGAAACTTCAATGAAAAACAAGACCTAATAACTCACTCTGTTTATCACCATTGCTTATTCAAAGTTCTTCTTGATTTAACAGTATAGAGGGAGACAAAGAATGGGGAAAAAGTTCCATTGTAAGGAGACAAGCTTTTAACCAAAGGATACCATGATTACTTAGACCTATAGTAGCTAGGGCACCAAGAACAATGTTGTCATTGATTGTGGACTCTTGGAGCCTCTTCATTCTTTCTTGGATCACTCCTACCATGGGCTTACTAGTAACCTAGATACAAAAAAACAGTTCTTAGATATAGACCAAGTTTTTATAAACAATCACCTCTACAATTCAAAATATTGTTGGTTCAACTGCACTCAGTGGCCCAATGGTCAGCTTTAGGTTTGATTAACCAGACTCTGTTTCTGAAATAAAGCCTCGCGCACCCTCTGCTTCAGAGGATCAAGGTCTAGGCTCTGATAGAAACAGCAGAGGAAGAACCTTGGTCAGCTAAAGCAATGTCTGTCTATGATGGATTTACACTATCAGTACAAGTGAAAATACAAGATCAGGTCCAATATCAACTTTGTTCCTGGGGTCTCGTTTCCTCAAAGAAGGGAGAGACCTGGGAACAGGGTCAATGTAATATAGGTAGCCTTGTTAACATATAGGTTGATAGTAGACCAGATGTTGCTTAATAGTTGACAGACATTTCACTATTGCTGTCAATTTTCAACCTCTACCCTATTGGCATGATGTACTAAGTACACCATGCAATTTGCAGTTTGTGTGCCTACATGACATACTCAGTTTGTTCAAGGTTAGAGAGTAACAACATAATCTGCAGCTCTGGATAAGCAAATTAACCTGGCTCTCAGTCTCAAAACAAGTTAGAATTCTTAAATATTATAAATCAATGTATGTTGGCACAGGACTTCCCTGTGGGGTTGGCAGCAAGAGGTTAACTGACAGCTGTCTTCCATGTAATTTCCAACTGACTCATCAATTAATAGTGAAAGTAAAGAGGTGATGGTCTCTGACTGATGATGATGGCCCTATGTGACCAAGAGCACAGAGAGAAACCAAGGCTAAATGTAGTGCAAGTTTACCTCATGCCAGGTAGACATCATTTGAGTCATCTATTTAACAAAGAAATATTTTATCTTCTGAAGGTTATCTTACACACCTTAGAAATAGTCATCATGCATTCAAAGCATTCTTTGGCACTGTGGGCAGGAATAAACCTTGAACTTGTTCCTAAGAATCTAGTAATATTATAGTTACTGTAGATTGTATGAGGTTCCCACATGGTCAGGATTTGACAAAATTTCTGCCATGCCTGAAAATTCTTCTTGAAGTTGGGTTTTGCATACCCACAACTCACCAATATGGATTTACACCATTGTGAGGTGGGTGCACAGTGCCTTAAATTTGACTTTTGAAATCAGAAATCAAAATTAATATTTGCTAGTATATACTTAAAAAGTGGGGAACAATGAAGGCAGGCTCTGATTGGCTACTCAAACTCCTAATGTCCTTGCTATTACCCCCCCTTAAAATATTATAATCACTGCAGGCATAAATGAGTGAAAATTATCTTTTTGTGTCATATTATCTCACTGTTTAAGTATTCACCTCAGTGTCAGTGGCTAGCAGTGGAGATTTCCCTTGCCACTTCATGACTTGGTAGATATCCACCACAAGTAACCTCCATTTTGGAAAATAATTGTTAACTATGTAAAGTTTTCTTCGGGGTCTAGCCCTGAGTGAAACAAACTTGGAGTAGGAAAACGAAACTTAACGTCACGAATTTTTTTTTCCCATTTAAAGGTATTTAGTTTATGGGGAAAACACCTTTTGAAGTGTCTTGATGCATTTGTTGGTGTCGTATGTTATAATTTTGGCTGAACATAGTGTTATTCAACGTAATTATTTTTTGGTGACCAGAATTGTGTCTATACTTCGTAAACTTTCACCTGCTTTGCAAGGCTGTCCAAGCTTTTATTTGTTCAGGCCCCATAAAAGCAGCCACAAGAATAACATAGGCTTTACGATGTAACTGGTTTAGTTTGTGTATCCTAAGGAAAAAAATGATTATAATTTAAGATAGTAACTCAGTGAAAATAAAATTCTGAATTCAATAAGCTCGCGTTAAGATGTTGCAGTTTTTTTAGTTCAATTATTAAGGGTAAGGCAAAACTTCGGAACGTTTGGTTATACCTCTCTATGGTATCTTCGTTAATTAAATGCTTTTCCTGGTTCTCCGTCAGTACCTGGTCCAAAGGCATAATCATGAAGGCGACGGAAGAGAGTGGAAAAATTATCACTCCATGGCCCGTTGTGTCTGTAACTATAAGATTTTCGATATATAACTTACAGTGGGTGTCTATTTGGAATGTAAAATTAAAAAAACTTAAGTTCATTCTGATTTATGATTACCCCGAACTTTATGATATTGCATCAGAAGTCGGTGAATGTCGCTGTTTTCGAGTGATCTGTTCAGTATCACTGGCCAACTTGGTAGAACGCTGTCCGCCATATTGGTTAAAAGGAACCGACTTAAATCTTCGTGCCCAAGAAATTTCCGATCGATGCCGACGAATTCCCGAAGTACTGAGGTCTTGTGTTGATGAAGGTCCTAAATTCGATTTCCCTACCCCTCGTTCGCATCTTTTTGCATTCACATAATTCTCTAAGAGTTCATATGTTAAGTCAACATATAAGCCTTAATACAATCGATGCTTGGGTCCAAGCGGTGGGTGTAATACGAAGCTCAGTGGTCACGAGTGGCGGATCGCGGGTCACGGATGGCGAGTACGGGTGGCGGATCGCGGGTCACGGATGGCGAGTACGGGTGGCGGGTCACTGACCATGGGTCACGGGTCGCTATTTCAAGAATTATTCAGCGGACGCCTGTGACCCGTAAATGCGTTTCGCGCAGCAGGCCTGATATTACTGTAAGTTCTCATGTTAACCTTTGATCTGGTGGGCCTTTAGGATGACTTTGGTTTAGTTTTTCGACACGTAATATTACGAACCGCTCTTAAGAGGCTGATTCTCTGTATCCCTAAATATGACTGACAAAATTGTGATTTGGCTCATCGCCCTTGACAATGCACGTTAATCATTACTTTGGGTAGATAAACAGCACTGTAGTCATTATATTGAAACATCGCCACTTTAATTCTTCACACGACCATAAATATCGAATTTCAATACATACTCCTGTATGGTGGAGATTGAGCATTAACTTAATGTTAGTATCTCCTCACAGAAGGTATTAAAATGGCAATGGTATGAAGAGAGAATGTAGAAGGTAACTTCGCTATTAGGAGTTAAGTAACAAGTACTTTATTACTTGGTAATTATTTATATACTCTGTACAAAATGAGTTGTTAAGTCTTAAATTTTCATGTCTTTAGCAGCGAGAGGATGATCTTGTTATATTAAACAGGAAGAAAACGTTCCTCTAATGAAGACGACCAGAAATGGATCAAATACAAACATAACACACACAAAAGGGATTTTCATTAGGTTGTCATTTCTCATTATTAATGAAAGACTCTCCCCTTTCTTCACAACGAAAGACTGATATAACAAACCGTAAGCATTAAAAGAAGATTGCTTCAATTTGTCACGAATACCTTGGTGGATATAAAACTGTTCACGAAACTCACTGTCTGGTACTCCTCTTTTACCCACCCCCCCCCCCCCCTCTAGAGAAAAGAAGACAAAATTGCGAATGAAAGGAAAATAACAGCGACAGTACTTCTGTTCTTCACTTTTTTTAAATGGTAAAATATAAACCCTTTTCAAGATAGCGTTCTCACCACCGGAATTGCCTTTGCAAACTGTAATCACGCCATTTTCCACTAAAAAAATGTCGACAGTCTTCGATTTGACTGGGTTGCCGTAATTCGACAGACATTTTGAAGCAATCTTATTTCTATGCTAAAAAAAGAACGGGTAACAGAATAGTGATAAGGTTCAATATATATTAAATTTCCAACAAAAGAAAAGATAAACATATCTAAACAGTAATTTGTGTAAAAGCTTTAGTAATTATTGCGTCGGAGTGTTGTAAAGTACCAAATAAAATCCAAAAATCGTACTCGAGAGTGGTTCTTCTGGTGGTTTCTTTTCTAGATGTAAATTTTAGCTATGTGGTTTAACAACTGTAGTCTGGTTGCTGGCGATTGTAGGCGTAAAATGGGATTTTTCCGCAACTAGATAAAGGCACAATTTCCCTCCGGCGAATTAGTGTGTATTTTTAACGGAGATTTCTCTTCACTTAAATGAATGAGAGACTTTCTAAGAGCACAAACACTCTCACACTCTCCTATAATCCATCTCTTGGTTGTGTATTTTTCGTTGCTCGATAAAATAAATACCCGGGTCGAGAGCTCCTTTGTACACTGAACGTCTATCCGCCGTTTACAAGAGATAATTTACATTTTTACAAGCACCGCACCAGAGCAGTCCTTTTCATCTGGATGTTAATGATACACTGGAGAGCATTTTCTGTACTTTTTCGTCATTTCTCAAGATATTACACTTTACTGTGCTTATCCTATCGACCTGGGATAGAAAACGAAAAAAAAAAGAATCAATATATACTTGGCACGAGATTGTAGGGTCTCAAATATCTATAATCTCAAACTTACTCGACTCGTACACAAAATCGATAGCTTACCATTTCTGTTATTTCAGTGTCAAGTTCATCTAGCTGTGATTTTAAGGGTGCGATCTCATTTTGTGTTATGCTGTGAAAAGAAAGCATGAAAAAAGATTGAAAGATGCCAAATTTGAGCGAAGAGAGATCATAAATTCAGTCAGTCACGAAGGTGGAAGAAGGCTATGGCGATTCTCTTCAGAACACAACAGACAACAATGTGACGACAGACTAGGAAAAAACCTCAGGAGTAAAGAGATTTATGTTACCTTTCCTCTCTTCTTAACGCTATTTCATGCTCCTTATTTTCCCGTCTCCATAGATCCAACTCCTTTTGCATGCTATCCATATCTTCCTGTTATCAAAAATAATACAAAAAAATTTGAAAAAAGCCAGCTTTTCCACAACGGCCACCTTTGGAAAATAGAACCTCCCAGCTGGTCAAGAAGAAAACAGTGACCCTTGTAAGGAAAAAAGACGTTGGCAGAGGTTCGACTGAATACCATTCCAGGCATTAAAACTACAGCAGATTTATGTACAGTTCCTTTCTTTTTTTCCTTCCATGATTAACCCTTTCACTCCCAGAAGTGAACAAAAACGAATTTCTCCCTACAATGTCAAATATATTTTAACAGAAAGGCGACGACAAGAAAGAACAATACCAGTATCAACCAACCAAATTCTCAACTAAAAATTATATGAAATGCGATGGTGAAGAGGATTGGGGAGAATTGATAATTAGATTTTTGGAGTGATAGGGACTAACATAGTTGCAGTTCCAGAAATCGGCAGTGTATTGCAGTGAATCACAGTGTATCGCCGTCTTTAGCATGCCCCCAAACCCCCCTTGGAGGGAACAGCCACTTATTGAAACTTTTGCTTAGTTGATGCTGCAAAAGTACCCCTTACCTGAATATAGTCCATAATTTTTCCTAATGGATTTGCGCTTCTCGTCAATGTCTGAATACTAGTTCTGAGTTTTTCTATCTGTTAAAAGAAATATGCAATTTAAATCGAACACAGAAAGAAAAATATCGCGAATGGAGATACTTGATATCTTGGTTACGTTGCTCTTACCTCCTTTTGCGCAAGTTCCCTTTCTTTTTTCCTTGCAGCGTCTGATATAATAGGAGCTTGTCTTTCCTACCAAACAGAAAATGAAATCAAACTGAGTTTTGGACAGTTACTGATTTTCAGGTGGTCCAATACACAAAGGAATGCAGTGTTCTCCTTTTCAGGCGGTAACTGATAATTTTTGCCATTTGAAATATTTCTTGTCACCGCCTAAAATCGCTCTTAAATCTTGGAAATTCAACAGGTAAAATAATTCCTCTGCTAGGTTGCAAACGTATTGTACTTGTCACACTCAAAATAAGGCAAGACTCAGCGAATGAACTGTAAGTTTTGACGGCATCGTAAGAAGGCCCTATTCACATTTTCTTTCCTCGTGAATTGAGGGAAAAAGATTCATTTCTACCAACTTTCAGATATAAATGACTCTTACACAAGGACACGTTCATAACAAACAGTCCCTCACCTGTTTTGGTCTTGTTTCTTGGTTTCGACCTCCTTCAAGCTCTTTCTTTGTTTCAAGAATTTTTCTAACAAGGCCCCCTGAAAGGAAAGGAAACTCTCTCGTCACTCTTAGACAATGGTTTTTTAGTGCCATGATAGACACGGATAAAACTCCAAACGATCCGCCCTTTCACTTCTAAGTTCTCATTAGTAATTCTCCTTGATGTTGCATTGATATTGCAAGTAGAAATTATATCTTGGTCACTCATGGGAGCTTCTGTTAGATAACCGATTCCTGGACCGATTTCTTAATATTAATCGAGGGAATAGTCATAACCCTCATTTGAACTTTCATTTTATTCTATTTTAGTGTCATGATGAAAGATAAAAAGGAAGGATGATGAATACAATGGGGAAAATTTCATCCCCAAAAACAACAACAATAACCATAGATAAATAATCAGTACATGTGAAGATAATTACCGTGTTCACCATCATCTTCAGCTACTTCTCCTGTAGGAGCCTGAGAAAATAAGACAATACCGTAATTTGTTGAAGTGAGAGCCTGATGACTGAAAAAAAAGGCCACTTCCATATACAACCACATCTTTGCTTCAATGAGTTTAAAAAATACAGCCAAAAATGCCCTTACAAAAGCCTCCCTTGCAATTTATTATTATGCAATATAAGGTGTGACATGTTTGATTGTGTACATGAAGATACAGTAGAACTGCACTAACTGGAATTCCCAAGGAAAACAAAAGATGGTTTGAGTTAGCAGTGGTTATGGTAAGCTGATAGTAAATGACTGAAAAAATGGGTTAAGGGAAAATGGATCGGGGGGGGGGAGGGGTTTCAAGTTAACCAGTTAGGGGGGTTCCACTGTACAAAGATGTCTGATAGCTAGAGAAGAGAATTACTCGTCAAATCATGGGAGTTAACCACTCACCACATCTACATCATTTTGGACTGCATGTGCATCTTCAACTACAAAGGTATCATCCTCATCATCATGTTCTTTGCCATCATCCACAATAACACTGGCAACTTGTTTCCCAGACCCAATTCTACAAATTGAATCAAATGAATCCTATTAAAACAGTGATACAGTTTGAGGTTGAATTATAGATGTTGTAACAGCAAAGACATGCCCAGACATAGATGCTTCCTTCTTGTGAGCAGGTTCCCTTCTTTTCTTTTTATGAATTCTGGTACTTTTTGAAAGAAAACTAGGACCCTAAAACACTGACAAAAGCCCTGCATACAGATATTTTTTAAACTTTTTCAAAAAACCTGTTCTGAGGACCTTTATTCTGCTAGCTTGAAATTGGTTTACCACGAAAAAACTCATGTTCTCAAGAGGTTTGATTTTGGATGGTCTTCTTATCATCAGTTTATAATAAAAAATCATGAAAAATTCAGGCAAAAAACTGAGTTCTCAGCAGCCTTCTTTGCAAATTGTCCTCTTGTTGAAAGGTTACAATCATAGCAACACAAAATGCTTTTGTTTTGCAGCACAACAAAGTCAACAAGCCAGTGCCTTCTCTTTAAATTTGTGGTTCTTGAAATAATTAATTACTGATATCAATAAAAGCAGACCATTATACCTGGCTATTTGCTCTTCAAGGTCCTCTTGTTGCTTTTTTATCTTAGGTGGGGCAGGCCTTGCACTGCTTGGTCTTGCCATACTACGACTGTTCATTAGAAAGAAATTTGATGTTAAGCAATCTCAGTAGTATAGCATTGTAGAACAAACAAGCTCAAAAAGAATCATTTAAAGGTAACTCTGACCACAAAGGGGTAGAGCATAGAGCTCTAGCCTTCACCAAAAAGTTTGAAGGGGGCATGACTCTCCCATTTCAGTGTGGAATTGATCTTAATCAAAGCATCAAATTGGTTTGGTAAATAATTCTAACTTCTGTTTTTTGTAATCAAAACAATCCATAAAGGTCACATTTAGCCTGAGTAACAAAACCATTCTCCTAACTAAACAGATGCAGGTAGGTAAGGGTATCGGTAAACCTCCTTTCTTTCATACCTTTTTATAACTTGAGGAGGGAGGTCTTCATCATGTAATACCCCATTCATTTGCTCAGTTGGTCTGGGTTGTTCATCTGTATTTGCACCTAAAGGAAACAAAGAAAATTGGTTATGAACCAAAAACTATGTTTAGTTGATCTTGGTGCTATCAGTATATACAACTTCTTCATATAAAGTAAAGAGATGAAAGTTCCTGAGGTACTCTTCTTGACTCAGCATTTTGGGATTCCTTCTGAAGAAGTTTGCTGATAGAATACTGATAAAAAAAAAACCACCATTTCAATTTTTGAAATCAGTTTTCTCCAAGAGGTAGGAATATAAAACCCACATTGTCAAAATCATGGCTATTTTGTCAGCCATCCCATAATAAACATATGAACTACCAGCAGTTTCAGTGGTATATCAACAACAAAAAATTATTGTTAAAGAGCAAACTCTAGATAAATACTGTACAAAAAATGCCACTCTCAAAGCAGTCCACCCAGAAAATGGAAAACTTTCTGTTTCTGGTAATCAAAGATAACAATTTAATACACATCATTGCACATCTCTGCCACTACCTACCATCACTTTCACTATCTTGAAGATCTGAAACACAAATTATAAATATTAATGATTGGGCACAAAAAAGTAGTCACTGACAGCAACTTAAACTGTTACTTCACGGCTATTACAAAAGACCAATAAATATTATACACCATGGGACCACATTTTCGTGTCACGACTATTTTGATTTTTTCCAAAAGCAGAGGAATATAACTGATTAAGAAAAACTCTAAGCATATCCTTAAATGGGCTCCTTTGGAATGCAGTTTCTGCCTTCAGCAACATGTTCTACCCTAACAAAGCCAAGTGCACTACACTACTAAAGGAAAATGTGATCGCCAGCCACTTTATATCCATTTTTCTCTGTTTCATCAGTTAAGTTCATTCTGATAACATAATAAGTTTGACTTTTCTAACTATTGTACCACCAATATCCAAGTAAGACTTGGGTGCAAAATCAACAAAGTCCATTACAATAAGTTGTATTTCCAACTCAGAAGTACATTTTATAAATAACCCTTAAATCTAACGGCACTGTGAACACTTCGTCTGATATGATAAATATTGTTTTCTTTCACACACAAGCATACCCTCTCCCTCCCCTGATGGTCGGCGTCTCTGACCTTTAGCAGAGGATGGTCTTGGAATGCGATTTGCTGGGGCCTCTCCATTCTACAAGAATAGAGATAAAAATAAATCAACAGATCCTCTTCCAAAAAGACTGCTCAAGATCACCAAATATTAATTTTAAAAACAAGAAATTCACGAAATTAACATTCAAGTTAACACCCTCTGTTTGGTAATCTTAAAGTAATTTAACTAGTTGCTGACTGGCTAGTAAATTTTTTCCAAGAATTAAAAGAATAACTTCATTTATATGTTTATGGGTTGAGCAATGTTAGGTCAATCCTACCAATCAAAAACCTTATTTTTCCATGGCAATTTAATTCCCCTGTTTTTCCCTTAGCTAAGATTGTCCCGAGTCACTGTAACTTTGCCATTAAAAAAGAAAAATTTGCTTCAGAAAAGTAAGGGTTGCTGATCTGAAAAGATATAATTTGCCATGGAAAAGTAAGTTTTGCCCGATAAAGAAGTTTTGTCCATGGCAGATGGGACACTGGATATACTGTTGTATGTGGTATACCCAGTCAAACAAATACCCACAGGTAACTACTATTTTGTTATGAGGTCTGATTTTTCTTATGGTAAATTTTTAATCTCTGTCACCACTTTGGAGATGATTATCAGTTTTTTCTAAAAAAAAGAGGTTTTGTATGTCAGTTAGTGGTCACGTTACCTCTGATTCACCATCAACTGCAGCTGCTGTTGCTACATCAGGACTATCCACATCATCATCTTTTCTTTGCAGCTGCTGAAATGAAAGTGGTAACCCCTTATATTTGATTTCCACATCAATGTTTACTTAATTCATGGTATCATTCAGAACTTAGTCAACAGTCTTGACTCAACACTTGATCTTCAATGTTTTCCAGCATCCAAAACAGAAGCTTCAAAAATTTGCTTCACTCTACAGAAACTAAGATTAATTCCAGTCAAATGGACCACAAACATGTCACTTGAACAGTTTCTTATTTTTTTCCCCACACCTTTTCTTTTTCTTTTTCTTTTTCTCTCCCTCTGTCAGATTGCTTTTCCTTCTCTTTTTCTCTCTTTGCTGATTCATCTCTTTTCTTTCTATCTGAACTGTCTGCTTTATTAGATGAACTATCCCTCCTTCTGGAAGAGTCACCCTAAAAATAAAATTAAAGTAAAATGTTTGAAAATACCCTTTTGGAATGTAATGAGTGATATTTCTTGAAATAGTTTATCTTGCCTTTAGCATGATTTGACCTCAAAATTATGCTTTGAAGAACTTAACAGTCTTCCATTTAAAATGAAAAAGATATAATTGAAAGGTTTCCATTCAGGGGTATATGACCACAGGACTGGTGTATTAGCTTGTTTTCTTGTAATCTATTTCTCTGTTTACTGACAACTGGGCCAATAAAAGTCAATTAGGAGAATATTATACCATAAAAACATATTTTTATACCATAAATAAGTATTTCACTCTTAAATGGTAAATCAAAAAAGCAACCATTGAAAATATCAACGAATATCAATATAAGGATACTGCTATAGAGGATAACTGTTACATCCCCATTCAGCACCTAAATGAGCTATGCTGACAAAGATAATTGTCTAAGTATACACATAGATAAATCTGCTGCCATTATTACCAGAACTTAACCAACTGCATTGTCACATCAAATACCTTGTAACAGAAAATGAATGAAAAGTACCTGTTTATGTTTGTCTTTGTCATCTTCTTTCTCTCTGTCTCTACTTCTGTCTCGATCTTTACTTTTTTCCTTGTCTTGTTCTTTTGATTTCTCTTTATCCCTGCTTCCACTACCAGTTCTAGAATCTTTTCTTTTGTTATCACTGGTTATAAACACAGTAAGTGTTTTTTAAATATATATTCAATAATCAATTCTGTTAAGGTTGATATGCCTTCTGCTGCTAAATGTAAACTTTTGACTCTAAGTTTCCATAGCGATAACCACGAAATTATTAGGAATGGCAAGGAAAATTAAACCAGAGGGAAATGCTCCTAAAATTGTTTACTTATAACCCTCTATACCCCAACATCAACATGTACATTCTTCATACTGTTTTTTATAAATTTTCTATGGAGCTGACAAGGAGAATTTAGTCAAAAATCACTAGCTTTTCAAGTTTAGAAAAATTTCCTTCATTTTCATTAGCCTAAAGGTTGATTCAGTAGTGATGCCTTCATGAGAAATTAGATGCTAATCACCCTCAGGGGTTAAAGGGTTAGCTCATACATGTAGGTTATTTCGTGCCTTTTCATCATGAGCCTTACTGGCTCAATAAATTATAACATTCTTGTTTGGGTAGCATTTGAAAAACATTTTTATCTTCATAACTCAACTGAAAAAATGTAAATTTTTGTTATTAATAGATAACATGATTCATGCACCATATTAACAAATACAGCAGAGTACTTCAGGTTGATCATACAGGCAAAATCATATTTGTGTACACAGCTCAAAGCTATGTGTAGTCAGGGTATCTATATATACATCTCTTTCCCAAAATTCCTTTTTCCTTCCATATAATAAGGGTGGTCAGCCTATTTGCCAAGATTACAGCTTTTGCAATAAAATCTCAGTCACTGGGCTAAAAATTTTACCTAGAAGTTCCTATAGAAGCTTTAAACCAAGTTTGTTGACTATGTTAAAATTTCTCATGTTAAGTTTGAATTTTAATGCCATCAGCCATGCAACTCACACCAAAAGGCCCTTGTACAACACAAATGTTTGAAACCAACCTAGGTTCTTTTCCTGGTTTTTCTCCTGCTAATACTTTTTTCACTGCACCAGTACTACTTTTCTAGAAAATTATAAAAAAAAATAATTTAAATTTCTTAAAATCAAGTTAGCTGAGAGTAAATGACTGAAAAATAGGGTCAAGGGAAATTAAATCTCCTTCAAGTTACACGGTGTTTGAAGTAAAGAAGTTGGAGTTACTAGGGTTTTACTGAAACTATATATATTGAAACTCTGAGTAAATTAGGAAAAGAGATGTAAAGAAAGCCTTGCTGTGAACTCAGAAAACCATGAACATCCAACATATTTTCTAAATATGATTATGTCCAAGGGAAATCTTTGTGAATTTGAGGTTTGCTTATAATGTACCAGTCCAGCTTATCCATGAGATTGATCAATTGAAAGTATGGTGAACTTTCCAGACATATTTCCACTGTTTATAGCTTTCTGAGTTTGACAAAAAGACAAACCTGACCTACCTTGTGTAAAATTGCTGTGCCCATTGCTTGCAGGAACTCATTTGTCTTTTCAGGTTCATGGCCTGCCACAATTTTTGATGGACGTACTGACAACTGTCCAGTTATCATACCTGTGACCATTTAATTAGACAACAGAGATAATCAGATGTTTTTTCATTATTTATGAATTACATAACACCAATTTGAAATTTCCCATTTGTAATATCAATGTTTAGTTTGCAATTCATTGCCAACTGTAGTGTCATCACTAGAACAATAGTTCTCATTATAATCTAATTCTCTCTGATTACTAAATGCTCTATATAAGTTTTTTCTTTTCAAGTTACACAAATTGTGCTTCCTCTCCAACTTAAAGGCATAAATACATTAAAGCACCACACAAATTCAATCTCTTAAAATTACATGAAAATTAATTGAAAATTAGTTGAGTGAAAATGTGAATGTTGAACATGAAAATGACACCAGCAATGTTATGTTAATGGTAACAACAAATATGATTTTTGCTAAATCCTATTGACTAAAACAATTGCATCACAGGAGAAGGACATCAAATTTTGGACAGTGAAGTGTTAGGAAAGTTTGCAAAATAAAAAATAAATTAAAAATATGCCAGTATAAAACAATTGCTGGAAAAGTATTTATTTTTTTAGTAGCCATTTTGTTACCTTTAACCACATTACTTATAACCTAGCCGTTATCTATGAAGGTGCAACAAATTACATCTAAAATCACAAACTAAATGTTTGGTTCACAGGTTTAAATTTGAACTTTTTCCTTTCATGAAATCATTAATTTTCAAGAACAATTTCTCTAAGTAAGCACATCAGGCTGTTACTAAACAAAAACAAATAGCAGATCGGTGAGGCGAATGCCTTTTCTTCTATAACAATTAAATGAGATTTCGCGAAAAGTTCCTGTAAAAATATTAAAAGTTCATTTTGTAACTGTTCAGTGCGGATTCGATTTACAAGTCGGTATCACAAGAACACTTCTTTGTGGACAGGATTGCATTAAACAGTGAAATTTGGCTTAAAAGCACTAACCGAAACCTAAAAAAAAAAAATTTTTGAAGTCACTCGGCTGAATCTTAAGTGTTCCATTGAATATATTTAATTTGAAGAAGTAAATTATGGAAGATAATTTTTCATCACGCTCACTTGCGTGCTACAAAACAGGCACCTGATGGTGCATTTTGTCGGATTATAACGAGTATAAAGATCAAATGTCCTCGATGGATTGATAAATGTCTATGGACCTTATGATTTATGGTTTAAATGGTTAGATATAAATAGTGTTTTTGCCAAACGAAAAACCTGTGCGAAGTGTTACGGTTGTTTCTTAGCAACACACAACATGACCTCGGTGTCTTACCTACGACGTCTATTGCTTTTTGAAGAAAAAGAATCTTGGCTTCTTTTTCCTATAATTGAGAATCAGCTGTTAGTATTAGGATGTTAGTCCTAAAATGGGAAACGAGAAGGATAAAAAATAAACAATATCCCCTCTCGCTTTCAGTGAAGAGCACACTAAATCTAAAGCCTTATAAATTGCAAGCTGCTAATACCTTGACTTTCGCTGAGTCCATCTCATCAGCGGTGTACAAGCCTTTGAGAAAACCAGTGTTCCTCACCACCTAAATTTTTGCAGAAATCACAAAGGTATCAAGAGGAAGTCCTCATATCAATACTGTCTTTTTGCCACAGTAATCAAGAGTACCTCAGTGATAATATCATGAAGAAACCGGAATGGAGGCTTGCCCAGCAATTTTTCCGTTAAAGGAGGTTTCTTTATGACCTTCCCTAACGTATCTTGTGTTTTCTTTGCTATTGAAGGGTCCATGGTAGATCTTTCTTCACTGAAATGTTAATAAAACTAGAAAAAAATCTCTGGTAAGCGAGAAAAATGTTAAATAATTCTCCAATGATGCACCGCCATTGCTAAAGCCGCCTCGGGCAAAATGTAATTAACCAAAATGCATTTCGGCCGGGTTATTATGTTGAGGTTGTACGTTCGGGATAGATCGCGGGATGAATCCCGCAAGATGTTACCATCCCATCCCATAATACCTACAAGCGTAGCTTGTAACCTCGCCTTACCTTGCATTCGAACAAGAATCCATTTCAATGAACATGGCGCGGTCGTGTTGCAGCTAAACCATCAACGATAAGACCCTTTTTTCAAGTTATCACGACCTTGTAGCTGCCATTTTATCAATCCTTAAATGTGTAAAGCATAAAGGAAGAAGAATCACACTCTTTCCTGATGTCAAGGATGGATTTTTCAGAAATCCACGAAGGTAACGTCGGTCCAATTATATAATGACATTTCAACCTGACAATGCGCGTATGCCACAGCTCACCTCGTGGTAGATCTAAGGCAAATAGTTTGGTTCTAAACTTGGTGACGCGACCTTAACACTATCTGGAAATTACTTTGATTAATTTAGGCTATTAAAGAGGTACTTTTGCGTATGGAGTAGTCCAAGGGGATGTTTTGAGTTTGACGACCAACTTTGAATAACAAATTTACTCTACTGGATTTCTCGTTTGCAAGTTTAAGATATCGAGTCTACCGTGGAGGAGAATGTGTTTAGACAATCAACAGCTCGAAAAACGTTTCTTGTTGAAGAATCAGTAAGGTGGGACATTCAAGTGACAAACAGCGGACCAGTTACACGCTTAGATTGAATTTTTGCATGATCGAGGAAGTAATTGATCAGAAATAGCGTTAAACGTTAACAGACTGGTTCGAGCACATATGAATAACTTCGGACATGAATCAGGAGGCAAAATTTTGGGCTAGATTTACGCGTAGCCCTTTACTTCTTGGATATAGAAAACAATGAAAAAATACAACAGATTGTGTTTGGAACCTCAGCTCTGTGTTGGAGTAGAGCGGGCTTATGTGGAAATCTGTCCAAATTTTGTCATAAGCCCCATATTGGTAGTTAATTACACATATATGTAGGTATGCATAGGGTTAACAATTGTTTAAATTAATGAAAGAGCAGAAGTTATTTTCTACAACATGTAGATATATATCCTGACAAAGGAGAAAAAGGAACTTGAACATTTTGTTTTGACATCTTCTTTTACTTAGTGTGGATATGAATTTTAACAACCTCCTATTAAGGGCTGAAATTCAGAGTTCTTCGTCTGTTATTGATTATCATTTGATGAAAGTGGATAGACTACGGAAGGGAATTTTTAAAAGCTGATGTTAGGAATGTTTGGCTATTTCAGAACAAAATTTCAGAGGAGGGTTGGGAAGGAGGAGAGAAACTGTTGGGTGTGAGTGTGTTAATATAGTTGAGAATGAATCTATGCTGCTGGGGTAAACATTTCTAACAGATGTTAGCCCTTGTACTCCCAAGATCTAACTAATACTTCTCTATACCTTCAACCATATAATCCTTTTAATTATAGCACTTAGAATTATTTGTTTAGTCTAACTACTTCCCATTCTGTACATGCTATACATTCTATAAAGAAGGTGATGAAAATTATTTTACAAGTTGGCACTCAGATGGCACTCATTTCTGCAATATGTTTAAGCACACAAAGGAAGCACAAGTGGTTTTTCCTCTAAGAGTATCGTTTTTTTTGTGATTTACAGATGAACTGGTGAGTTTGGGAGTTGACTTTGGTAAGTATTTTGTCGATGAAAGTGCTCATAAACTCCAGAAGTGATTAAAGAAGTTCTCCTTTTTATATCCATGCATCATCCAGCAAACAGGAAATGAGAATACTCAAACAAATAGTTGTTAACTTTATTGAACACAAAGTTCTCATAATTAATTTACTAGGAATAACAGGGTGTTCAAAAGAAACTTATTGCACTGAATAACGAAGGCACATGTGTTGCACATTTTTTCGACCATGCATACCAAAAAATCGTCTATGTGTGTCTGACTACCCTGTGTCTGAGTGTATGAAATTTGTTGGCATAGTTAACATATATGTGAGCAGTACTGTTTGTAACAGCTAGAGGTGAGAATTAACCCTCCAACTCCCAGAAGTGATCAACATGAAACTTCTCCCCATAATATCCTAACATTAACCAGCAAATAGGTAATGAGAATATTCAAACTTATCAAGTAGAAGTTTTATCTTGATCTAACACCAAATTCTCATTACCATTTCACAGAGAAATGTGTAGCAGCTTAAGGGGAGAATTAATAATTTGATCTTGGGAGTCAAAGGGTTAACAATCAGATCTTGGGAGTGAAAGAGTAAACTGATTCATTTTATTTTAACCTCTCAACTCCACGAAAATAAGCTAAAGCTTTAACATTGAACATATTCTTGGTACAACTCGCATGTGGTTGAAATTTTTTTCCTTATTCCTAGCTCCTTATGTTGGTCATAACTCAGGGCGTGAAATTACACCTAATATGGGCACCAATGTGACTAAATTTTTCACTTTTGTGACCAAATCCTGAAAATTAGTCGCCAAATTAGCAACTAGAATGTTTCATCATAACCTTACTTAGAGATGTAGTGAATTAAAAAGATTTGCAGAGATAAATCTGCAGCAAACTTCCTCATTAAGTTTGTTTCCGAAACGCAGCACATGCATCTCGATTGATAACTAGACACCATCTTGGATTTAGGTGAGCTTGAACATTGCATATCATCCATCCTAGTGTCCACTTTGTAGCAGGTTAAAGATCTTTTCCCTAACTTAATTTCTAGAATGATGACAGTGTAAAAAAAAAGTTTTGTTTGTCTTGGAAAATGGTGACCAAATTTTTTTTGAATTGGCTACCACTTTGAAGAATTTAGAAGCCAAGTGGCTATCAGAAAAAAAAAATTAATTTCACGTCCTGTAACTTGAATTGTATTGCGACAGATGGATGACTAGCACAACTTCATGTGATGTCTCAAGAATTCACACTGTGAAAATGCAGTAGAAAGCTGATGTTTCATTTGCTCTGAAAAAGGGCTGATGCTCAAAACATCTGCTTTTGAACTCTTTAAAGTGGCCAATTTACATAATTAACTAAGTTGATAATAATAAATTACCCTGTTAGACTCTCCCACAACACAGCACCTCAGTTTCTTAAGAAACTTACCCCTTTATTCAATTAACTCTACAATTACTTGTTTAATTAACCACTTGATTGATATTATGCAGATTGTATGAGTGTAGCATTGAAAACATAAACCATTGATAGAAATAAACAAATACCTCATTCTAAAAGATAGCAAAAACCCAGAATATCGAACTGTTACAAGTAGCATCCATTAGATTGGGTAAGGTCAGGCTTACTGCAAAAAAAAAAATCAATCAACAAGTTGATGAAGTATTCCAATGTCTAGAATTTTTGTCTAGTATGTGTCTTTTTGTCTGATACCTGAATAAGGAATGTCCAAAAGCCCACAAGGCCAGTGGCATGAGATAACCTATTAACAACAGACTGAAATCAAAATGGCAGTTACAATGCTTTTAAACTGTACTCTCATTTGATCATTAAGTAGTGGGAAAGCAAAAGTCCCATGAGTGACACAGTAACATGCCCTCAAAGAATGTTAGCTTAACTTAGCTACAATTATTTTCTCAGAACATGGAAGACGAGGCCCAAGACCACCTTTCCGACACCCTGGACCACACCCTTTTCCCCCATTTGGTCCAGGTGGGCCCCATGGACCTCGCATGCCCCCAGGAGGTCACATGCCTAGACCACCAGGTCCTATGATGATGGGACATCCAGGTCCTCACCCACGTGGACCCATGGGGCCCATGATGCGTGGCCATATGCCAGGCCCTCATGGTCCTCCAGGTCCTATGGGGATTCCAGGACCCATGAGAGCGAGGCTCCCTATGGGGGAACATGACATACCACCTCCATGGAATGACAGGGGAAGAGGAAGGAGGCCACCTGGCAAACCACTACCTCAGCGACAACTAAGTAGAGAAGCACCAAAGCCCAAAAAGTCTATAACACCTGATAAAGCAAAGTATGGGCATAATATTAGTAGAGGAGGAGATTTAAAAAAGGGGCTAAATTAGGCACTGCTCACCACCCCCACTTTGCAAAAGGTTTAACATTTGATTATGAAAGGCTGATATGCAAAAGGTTTAACATTTGATTATGAAAGGCTGATGCTCGTAGGTCATCACTATGTCAGTCATAATCACAAATTGTGGGGTCAGTGACTTGCTACACACTGATTTTTTGGGGAGTTAGTGGTGTTTTTGGAAGTGCCAAATAAGTATGTTTGTGTTAAGGAATGTTTTAAGCAATAAGTCCAGAACCTTTGCCCCAACATTTTTTTTCGGGGGTGGGGAAGTAACTTTTACAGTTCCTTAATGTGGGGATATTGCAGTTGGGTAAACTATTACCATAGCAACAGTTGGGAAGGAAATCATGGTAAACTTTGTTTTATGGAATATAGCTAAAAATTCCATTGACATTATTTCTTATTAATTTGCAATTGAGGAAAACAATCATAATCATTTTGGGTCAATTGTTAAAGTTTTGTGGCTAATTTTCTTGATTTATACTACAACTTCAGCAAATCTTATATGAAAAGCTTGTGTGCTCTAACATGGCTGGTGAATGACTTTCCTTCAAGAAGCACGATTGTAAAACAAAAACCATAGATTGAATTCTCTGAATATATTTTTCCTTAGTAACTGTTGCCATGGTTAGAGTTGACAAACTAAACAAAATCATCCCACACAAAGTACCTGCCAATTTTTCAACCCCCCTCCAAATTCAATTTTATCTGGCAGGGTTGTTTTGCATGTATTACCAAAAGATCACGAACACATAAATATCGGTACTTTAAAAAGCACTTCACTGCCCCTTGTGGCCAGTCACTGACCCCTCAGTTTTTCACCATGACTAACGTTGCAGTGATCTCTGGGTATCAGGCTACCATGATCTGATGTCAAACCTTTTGTGTAGTGAGTGTGCTAGGAGGTTGACTTATCTGACTTCTCCTCCTGGACTGTATTTTGAAGGATAGGCTAAAAAAATAACCAACAAGACTTCGCAAAATCAGAAGTGAATTTAAAAAGATTTAAAGTTAATTGAAATCTATTTCTCCAATTTACATACAGTCGTCGGGTCACAAAATATAATTTTGTCATGTGGAGAGAACAGAGTGGAGAGGTGGATAAAATGATAAATTGTATAGTTAAGTTTCAGAACATCCTCTTTTTCACATGATTAAGATACCTCTTTTTCCTATTGTAAGTAAGCTGGCACACAACTACAAATCTTAATAATTTACCTTGTAAAAAAAAACAAAAACAAGAATAGCAACAACAACAACTATAACTTTACCCAGTATTGGTGTTCTGCTGTCTCTATATTTAACTGTTTGATAAGTTTGGTCAGCTCTTCCCTGACATTCATTGAAATTTCCCATACTTTCTAGAAAAGAAGAGTCAAAACCAGCTGATGGAGAAGCTAAAGGTCCTCCTGCTAAAAAGGTATTTTGAATTGATTTAGTCCTATTGAATTGGCTGGCTGGTGACTTTATGTAGCAATAAAGTCAATTGTGCTGTACACTATATAGGGGTATAAGTTACCACCTTCTTTATCAGTCTCTGTTTCAAAATTCTAGACTTAAACTGAGGGTATTCTTTTGATATGCAATGTAGAAGTGTTTGGGGACTCTCTTTTTAATTTTTCAGCCTAAAAAGGAAGATGATGACCTGGAGGATCTTGATGAGGTAGAAAATGTTTTGTTAACCCTTAACACACAAATGTCAGTATGCATATTCTCCACACTTTTCCCCATACAGTTCTTAAGGTGCTAATTTTTCTTTTTTCTTTTTTTCCCCTTCTGCTGTGTAGGAAAAGTTGTTAAAGAGTGATGATGAAGGTGAAGGGTGAGTTACACTTGAACATTGTTGTTTTTATCACAATTAATTAATGTTAAACTATTTTGATTTAAACAGTATAGCTACTAATGAAAAAAACATTTACCGTTTGTATCAAACTCTTTTAAATCACTCCTCAAAAATTTAGATCACATGACAGTTTCTTTAGATAACCAGGAAAGTATCAAGTCAAGTCAAATTAAAATGCTGTTGAAAGAATCCCTACTCTAGTGATTCTTTTCCCAATAGTTAGTGATCAGGAATTCCTATTGATCACATCACAAATTATCATGTTTAGATATATGAAATTCACTTGTGATGAGCTCATGCAAGTTGTATACATTATGATATGATCATCATTTTCCTTTTTCTTGCTTGTTGCTTGTAATAACCTATGAAGGTGTTCCATGCCAGTTTGTTTTTGTTTCTTTTCAATGTCATTGTCCAATTGTAGTCATATGCAGAGTTGTCTCTGATATCAATTCTTGACCCCCAATTTCACAGGGCAAATAATGTTGATTTGGATGCTGTGAGTATCCATGGTGATGATGAACTGGATGATATTGATAAAGAGATCAAAGGCCTGTCAGAAGGAGCAGCTGAAAGCAGTAAGAAGACAAATTCAAAAGGTATGGATTTGTAGGGTGAGCTTGTCAATTCAGCTGATCGTGTGCTTGAAATTTCAGGGTGCCCAAGTCTATTTGGTTTACCAAATTAATTAATCAGTTGAAAAGTTTTCTATATGTATATTATATTAGCTTGAAACTATTATCAAAATGACTGAAAATTTGATGTTGTTTACAGAAGAAGTCAAGAAGGAGCAAGTCACACCTGTCAAAAAAGAAATAAAGAATGACAGTGACAGTGAAGATGAGGGCAAGAAGGACAGACAGCGCTTTAAGTCCGAGCGACCAAAGGAGGCACAGTTCAAGATTGAAAAGCATGAACAAAGTATGTGGAATTTGTATCAAATGTGATTTTTGTTTTTTTTAAATATAGTTGAACTTCCATTCAGGAGTACTGAAGGGAACCTACAATAGAGGTGTACCAGATACATTTAGAGCCACAGGTGTTAGAGAGAATGATGGGCAAGAGAGGTGTAGGAGACTAGAGAAGGAAAAGCAAAAGACATTAGGGAAATGCCACACTCTTTAAATCTTCTTCTCATTAATCCACAATGTAATGCAGTAGTGCCGTGGGTAGGGTTGGTTAGAATAGAGGAAAGTTGTCCCTCCCCCCCCCCTTTTTTGCCTTCTCCCTCCCCTCATTTGTGCCCTTTAAATGTAGATGGTCCAAAAGAGAGAGAGAACAGAGGAAAAGATGAAAGAACCCTTATAAACCCCTTACAACCCAAGGCAGCTTTGTTAATTCACCATAATTTCTGCCATAAATTTTGCATAATACTGGTTCTGAGGATTTGTTGTATCCCTTAGTTGCTAGTTTTGAATCCTTTACTGTCATCACCAGGCCCTAGTTGTTCAAAGGGTGGAAAATGCTATCCAACGGATAAATCGCTAACCAGTGGTTAATTGTTAGCAAAAATTATTGCACTATCCATCGGATAGGGACTTTTCCAGTGGATAGTACTATCTACCCTTTGAAACAACCGTCACTGTTTTTTTTTTAATGTATTATCGGGAGAATCTACTGAGTAGTCATCTGAAGTATCTACTTTTAGCCTTTTATACTAGAAGCAATGTAACTTCTTTTTCTGTTATCCCAGAGAGAGAGTTCAAAAAGCATGATGACAGAAACTGGAACAGAAGAGATGTTGGGCGGGGCCGTGGCAGAGGAGGGCCAATGATGTATGTATTAACAACACACAGCAGTTATTTGTTTTGATAATTGATGCAGTTTTTTTGTAAAATGTACTCATCATTGTCAGCATGAACAAGAATGTGTAATTTACTCCTGAACTGAAATTGATAAGTTGGGGGTAGTAGCCAGAGCTTGTTTTTTTCCCTCTTAACCCTTTAACTTTCAAGATCTGGTTGTTTATTCTCCTCTCCAGCTGTTACACATTTCCTTGTAAATTAGTTATAAGAATTTGGTGTAAGATCAATACAAAAAATTCTACCTGATAAGTTTGAACATTCTTGTAATGTGTTTGCTAAAAAATGTACAGATATTTTAGGGAGAAGTTGCATGTTAATCACTATCAGGAGTTAAATGGTTAACCCTTTCACTCTGTGGATCTAAATATCATTTTTCCTTACTTATTTTGCCTGGACGATTTGACGTTATATCGTGCAATATACTCTGAGTGATATTTTTCTTTTGTCTCATCATCGTTCTGCTTAAAAAATGTATTGATATTGCAAGGACAAAAAAAAATTATTTTTAGACACTCTTGGGAGAGAAGGGGTTTATGAAATGAACAATAGAGCTCGTTTGAAATAGGCCTTGTTGTTTCATCATTACTTCAGGGGACCTCCTCTACCAGGAATGGTTCGGCCAGGAATGCACCCTCCTTTTCCACCTAGAGGGCCAGATCCTTTTATGCATGGCCCCAGACCTGGTATGGGGCCAGGCCTTGGAGTAGGACCAGATCATGGCCCTGGTCCCCGACCACGCTTCCCACTTGGACCCAGTGGACCAATTCCTGGTCACATGCCTGGACCCCCAGATGGCCATGGAGCCTTCCCCCCACCAAGTAAGTTAAAACACTATTGTTGCTGATCTTCTCTTTTCAAAAATTTTCTTCTCGTAGTTGTTAATTTTTAAGTTCCTTGGTCAGCTGCCAGATGTAGTTCAAGTTTATTATTGAAATCAGTGCCTTAAGTGTTTACTTGTAGTGACATGGAAGATGTGTAGTGTGCCTCTTTTATCTTGATTTTGGAGGGTTATCAAAATATGGCTCCACCCTCCAGGGAACAATCCCTCTTTCTTTTACTTTTTATCCAGTTTAAATCCTGTTGATAGCACCAAGGCACTCATTACAGTGTTGGGATACGGCAGCAGGTGCCTATTTTAGGGTCCCTTCTTAAAGCTTTCCCGAATTGTGGCCAGATACATTAATGATCATCTTCCTTCATGCACCATATGCATAATGAATACAACTTTAACTGTGTATTAAGACACACAGCGAGTTGATCATGAACATTTTAATAGCTTCATAGTTGTATTCATTGTTATCTTCCAACTTTATTTCTTTCCCTGCTGAATTAAGTAAGGCATGATTAAAAAATCACAATCCTTAAAATAGTTCGCTGTCTTAGTGTCTTTCCATAAAAGTGTTTAAAGGAAGCTGTGGGGTTCTTATTCAATAGGGTTCTTGATCAAAGGAAGGTGCTAATTTGAGGACTTACAGTAGCAATTCCTATTTCTTCCTCTCTGCCCCAAAAATCAAAGGGATAAATTCTTCCCTGGCGTTACATGATTGTAGTGTACTAAGACACCTAAGGTAGTTCAGAATGCTAGCAAGGAACTGAGAGATATGTTTCTTTATAACAGGGCCACCTCAAGGAAAAAATATTCACATCAACCCACACTTTAGACCTCCTCCAGGGGGAAGAGGAATGCCAGAGGGTGAGATATATTTGAATCATTTTACAAAGTGAAGTTGTAACTTTCTGGCTGCTATATTTTAACATCACCCAGCAAACCATTTCGAAGAATTGACACCTTTTACCTTAACAGAGTTATCTTGATGTGACACCAAGTTTTCTCTGATGGACATGGGATTGTGTCACAGAGAGAAAAGATACAATGTTTTTTTTAATTTTTAACTATTTCTTTAGTCAGTTCTTTTGTCATCTTCAGGACAATGTACTTAAATTTGAGCTTCAAGGGAGAAATGTATTCCTATATTAGACTGTAAAGTTCGTTCCATTTAATGTACAAAAACTGTTCTCGTTAATGTGTCTTAATTGCATGCATTAAGAAAATTTCACAACCATGTGAAAACCCTTTTTTTCCTTCCTTTAGGGTGTTTGACCTGTGTGTTAACATCTACATGTCAATTGTGAGGTCATAAGGAATTACACTGTTGTTGCAAGGCCTCGTAAATTTACACTGAGTAAATGCACTGTTTTGGTTTAATCTTGCAGGTCCACCTCCCATGCGAGGGCCACACCTTGGACCTCTCAGGCCCGATGTGCCAGGGCCCCATATGGCAGCTCCTCACCCAGGTCCCATGCGCCCAGAAGTGACTCTCCCACCTGGCCCTGCTGGAGATTTTGGACCCCGCGGACCTCTTCCAGCTAGAGGGCCTCATATGGGTCCAGAGCAAGGACCAAGGCCCAGCATGGGACATGACCCAGTAACAGCACCGAGGCCAATGGGCCCAGGTGGACCAGGTCCCATGCAAGGTCCTGGACAAGGTCATGGGCCAAGATCTGGTCCAATCCCTGAGAATGACATGAGGCCAACCCATGTCATGGGAGCTGGCACAAATGCACTGTCACAACCCAGAGTAAGTTGCAGATTCTTTGACTCAACTCTTGATTGATTATATAAGAGCATCTAAAACTGCATCAAACTTGACAGCTGTTAATTTGACTTGCTGCAAAATTTACTTAACTCCACATATGGCCAGGGAACAATGAGGATCTTATCACTCAAGTTATTTTACTCTTAAAAAGTTTTGAAATTCCAGAAGTTTCATTACCTGACGTGGAAAAATCGCAAAAATGGAATGACTAATAATTAACTCAAACTTAACCAAATTCCAGTGATGTCAAAGTTTCCTTCGGAAAGTAAACAGAAATTTTCTTTGCTAATTTTAAGGGACCTCCCCAAGTAACACCCAACATGGTCCCTCCACATGGTCCTCTACCAGGGCGTGCCCCAACAGCAGGGGGCCCAGGTGCAGTAGCACATACTGGAGCACCAGGGGGACCTAGCCCCTTACCAGGGCAGCAACACCCAGCCATGCCACCAAGGGGTCCCACACAAGGAATGCCACCAACAGGATTACCTCCTGGAGGTCAAGTACATCCAGGTGCTTTACAGTCAGCAATGCGACCACCAGCGATGAACCAACATCCGGAAGTACCCATGTCGGAACCAGAACGAATTGTCATTGGAAATCGTGTGACAGTGTCTAATATGGATGTCTCCAATCCCGTAATGCGAGGTGGAATACCACCACCTGGTTACAATGCAGCAGCAGCCATGGCTGCAGCTCAGGGAGCTAATTTAGCTGCTGCAGCTGCAGCAGCGGCAGCTGCAAGGCAACAGCAGTTTCCTTACGGACAGCAGTATCCTTATGATTATGCAGCCGTGTATGGAGCAGAGTGGCAGCAGTTGATGCAGCAGCAGAGAGATGCAGCTTATGCTGCGGCAGCATATGGTCTGGAGAAGCACACCAAGGTGAGGTTTAATGATGAACGTATAACAGTTAACTGTGGTACACGCTTAACCAAGCTATCGGAAGTTTTGGGTTTCTTATGAAACGTAGAAAATCGTTAACTGAAAACTGGTTGTGATATGACCTGTCATATTGTAAATCAAGACATGTGAACAATCCCCGAAAACTTGAACTTACTCGCAGTGTTTTTCGTTATTTTAAGGACCACAGATAAAAGAAATTTTCAAACGGGTAGAGCAATCCTTGTACCAATTGAGTTTTCAAAAACTCCAAACGATTTTAGTTAGTAATGAGGAGTACTAGGGGCGGTAGTTATAGCTGGTACTGACTGAAAAAGGGAACACTGCACTTTAAGAGGCAAAGGTTGTTAAACTTTCCAAACTTGTCTTCTTAGAGTCACAAATCAAAGAAGCATCATCGTCGTTATAGTGCTGACAGTGCGGAAAGTGACTTCAGCAGTGCATCAAGATCGGCATCAAGATCAGCTTCACGTTCTTATTCCAGGTCACCAGCAAGGTCTTGGACTCGTTCACGTTCTCTATCGCTGTCCCGGTCAAGGTCGAGGTAACCATTGAATTGTGAATTGAATGCCATCGCCAAATGAATCGTGGAGTACTTGTCCTTTGCTTCAAGTGCTCCATGAAAGCAGAATATTTTGGAATGTCAATTATTACGTGCATAGAGCACTAAAGTGAGTGTCCAAAGTAATTTGGAATTGCTTTGGTCTTAACTTTGCCTTCTGATTGGTTAAGAAAACCCGTGCAATCATCTCAACCAATCAGATTCAAAATTAACAACAATCGCGTTTTCCCGCGCTTCAAACAGTTTGTGTTCTTTCACTTTGAGTTCTCATTAGTCAATGATAATGTAATTTTCTTGTTGGTACTGGTTTTCTTTCAGGTCGTCGTCAAGGTCAAGGTCATTCTCAAGGTCTGTTTCACCGCGCACTCCGCAAACAAGATCTCCAGTTGTTCGCGCAGCTAAACCAGGGCCTCATCCGAGAAGGGTAGACAGTCGCAGAGAACGAGAGAAAGAACGGCCTGACAGGAGTCATGAAAGAGAAAGAGAACGAGACAGAACAAGGTTTGTAATGTATTTTTCCTCTCAATTCAAAAATCTTTATTCAGTTTTAATTTAAAGGAGAGATTTTTTCTTGATGAATGTCAAAAGGTGAGCCAAAGCGTCATAGAGTTTTCTTTTGATTTTACTAAAGGGTATTTTTTTTGTATTCAAAGGAAATTTACATTGTACCTTATTAAGATAACAGTCTTCATACAGGAACTTTGTTGCTGTTAAGGTGTGGCTAGGTATTAGTGAGTGGTCAAGTATGTAAAAGGTTAAGTTACCCCTCCCCCCCCCCCCCAAACCTGCCGCAACATGCTGCCTTTTCTTGGATACAACCCCGTCAATATGTCTGTACTGTATGCTTGATGCCGAAACTGTTGCAGCAGCGTAAAACAATGTGTATGTTGTTGGTTCATGTGGCAAACTCTTAAATACAACAACGTTAACATTCTTAGTTCGGTTTATTTTGTCCAGAAGTTGTCGGAACAAATAGAAACAATGTGACTGGGCTAGGCTTATTGGTCATTTACTGTCGTAAATTAAATTAAGTGAACCTACGGGTAACTTGCGATCTTGTGGTCTGATCGTCCAGGTGAGTGTAGTCCTGAGAAGGACTGTTGTCGGCAGTAGTGACTGACGTTTGGACAACCTGAGCGGAAGTCATCGTCAGAGTCAACTGGAGAATATTGTCTGTCAGGTGTTATAAGTTCGGTTCGTGTTTGTGTGTTCAACGAAAACTTGAGTTTAAGCCTAGCCAGAAGAACACAGAGATCTTTGCAGAGGGAATTGAACCAGAGTTGTTGTCATATTCGTCTGACAGCGCTTTTGTTAATGATGAATTCATTCGCACGTTTTCCGCTCTGTCGCTCAAGTGAATGTAATACAGTAAATGGTTTGTGACTCATTGTTTTCTGTTCGTAATATTTGGCAGGGAGCGGCCTGACAGGAGCAGAGATGGTTACAGGAATCGTGAGAGAAATGACCGAGAGAAGCCTAGGGAGAGGGAATCACATGAACAACGAGAACCACGTGAACCCCGTCATGACAGGCCTAGGGAGAGAGAGCGAGAGAGGGACAGAGGAGATCGCGAGAAGGCAAAAGAGAGGGAACGGGAGAGGACAAGGGATAGGGAGAAGCCAAAGGAAGGTCATCGAAGAAGTCGAAGTCGAGACCGATCATCTCACAGACGAGAGAGCAGGGAGTCCAGACATTCTGAGAATAGTGCCTCAAAGGTTGGTGGACAGACTTAACCATGTGGTTCAGCCTTTATGCTATTTTATTTGTCTATTTTATTGATTTTTTCTTTAACTCTCTTCATTTTTACAAGCACGTTGAATTCAAATTTTTATGCAATATTGATTACATTTCAATGGACGCAAACTTAATGTGGTTGTAATTTAAAACTTCGTATGCTTGCTTCCAGGCTCGTAAGATTTAGCAAGCTCAGTAAAAAACTGACCAATCCTATAACTGGGAAAGGGCAATGAACTGCTTCCAATTTGAAGTTGGAATCTTTTTTCCCTCAAGTGTGAATGCTGTAAATACAAAGAAAAATAACAACAACAACATATCTAGTCTACTAGATATCTAGTCAGTGTCTTTTCTTAAAGTATAAAGCACAATCTTAATAAGGCTCGACTATCAACCGCCTTTCGGGAAATGAGCTTGCGCTTAACCCCCGATGTCTCGAAAGGGGGCCATACGAAGACTGGGTACGAATGATTCGGATCAGAACACTCTTTCATGCCTGAAAGCCAGCACTGATCATGGTCCACAATGATGTAATCTTTCCAAAATCAATGCGAAATGCAACCTTTTTATTTTGCAGCGGATCGTTGTTGGACCTTCTGAAAGCAAGAGTAAAACATCTGGTTCTACTCCGGACGCTAAAGCCAACCGTGTGGTCGTAACCAAGGCTTCAAGCAGCGGGAAGCCGTCAAATCGAGTTGTAATTGGTTCTTTGCCGGAAGCGATAACACCAAGCAGGTTAAAGGAGCTTCTGCAGGGCGTTGGTCCAATTCAGGTACAGAAAGAGTCGTCAAGATCAAAAGACTGATTCCCCTAACAGATAATAATGCATTTCTCTACAGGCCAGTCCATAGAATTAGAAGCTTTGTCCTGACGTTATTTCCTTGTTGACATGTAATAGAAGACTAACGACAAAAATAAGTTACATCTTACTTGAACTGAATCAAATAATTATGAATTTCAGTCTACGCGTTTTATGAAACACATTTCAGGATAAAGTGAGCATAACAATTATTTTTTTCGTGTGTAGCCTTTAGTGGAATATAACATTTTTATCTAAACAGCAACTAAAGATGTCCACGACAAAACACAAAGCACTGGTGACGTTTGAGAAGAATGAACATGCTCTGGCCTGCCGACGAAAATTTCATAGGTACACTTTGTTTACACTAGTGTTGATCAGTTGAAATATTTCAAGATATTGAGACTGTAATATTAAGTCTGCATATGAATATGGAAGCGATCTTCGCAATGATGAACACTAGTTAAGCAGTAGGGAAAGTAAAGCCTGAAAAAAATTCAAGCCTGTACGGGATTTGAACCCATGTCCTCTGCGATACCGGTGCAGCGCTCAACCAACTGAGTTAACAAGCCAACTAGGAGCTGGTCTGCATATTGTGTTTGAAGTGGGTACAAATGTGCACCACAGCAAAATCTCGACAAGGCTTTATACTCATTTAACATCCTTTTTTTTCAAATCAATTTTTTTTCTCCAGGACTGTAGTCGATGACAGCCAAGTTACTGTTGACTTCCTCTGATTTTTTAAAACATATTTCACAAGGATTTGCCCTTTGTGGTCTGCTCCCTTGTATGTAGTGTTGTAGTTGTACTGTTGTGTTATTGTGTCTGTTTTCATAAAGCCTGGCATTAGTAAAAAACTCTGAAATTTACTAAGGGTAAATCTCAACATCATAATTCCATCTATCTAAAAACGAGCCTTTTCTAGAACGTTGTGATTCTTTATCAGGTACATTTTTAGTATGCGATTTTCTAGAAAAGTAAGCTCTAAAGATTATTGACACTGTTGATATTCTCATTACTAAGCACTTAAATGACAAAACTGATTAAGATAAATATACAGCAATGCTTACAAGGCTCACTATTGGGTTATCATAAGTGATAGCCGGTGGCTTTTATGGGATTCGTTATTGTTTTCAAAATAGTAGTTACCTCCTCACTGTAGCCATAATTAGTAGTTTTTAGCCTTGTGACTTTAAGAAGATTTATTATAGACGGAGAGAGAATCAAAGGTTATGTATAGTGTAAAATCAACCAAAAGGGGAATGGCGTCGTTAAACAAATAAGGAATTTTTTTAATGTCAAGTTTAGGTGTTAAAAGTTCTGTATTCTGAACATGAAATTCATCATTCAGCAAAATTTAAAGGGTTTAAATTGAAGTCTTAAATTGAAGTCTTAGAGTTTTACTGTTAATAGTTATAAGATGTTTTACGGAAGATTCTTCCAATTTGAAACAGTTTTGTTTTTTCTTATTATGTTGATATCATGCAAGAGTTATACTACCCTTCAGGGAGTGACGCAATTATCGCTATAAGGAAAACGTTGATCATGTGGCGGTAGACAAACATGCAGTGGTTCAGATTCAAATTGCTACTTCATATTTTGAATATATTTGATGCGTTATGAATAGCAGGGGGTACAAACATTGGGTGCAACTAAACTTAAACTTCATGATAAAGGAGGGTTTGTTTTAAACAGTTCCAGTGTTTCACTGATTGGGGCCTAAAAAGTTCGTTGTTTAATTTTCAATAAACAAATCAGGAGTAAACATTCAAAAACAGCAATTACTACCTGCTTCTTCTTCCCTTCAGTCTACTTTAGTAGTGGAAATACTTCGTTTTGAGGAGGAAGGAAAAAGTTACCTTCCCGTGCAAATTAAGTAAGGCCTTTTTCAGTTTTATTGTGATGTTAATAGTTTGGTGTATGTTTACGTTGGCGAAAATTTTCAATTTCTCAGCTTAACTTTCAAAATCAAATTTTAGAAGTAACTGTTACGAAGTCACACTAAGCTGTAAAATAGCTTTGAAGAGCTTGCTTTTTTTTAGCTAGTTGACCCTATAGCGCTTACTCGTATACAACTTTCGTTTTCTCTTCGCAATTATTGCATAATTGATCTGCTTCTTCTACAATTTTATTGTAATATATTTTTAGCAACTATTCACGGAAGTGGAGGCGGCTAATTGTGGTTTTGTTTTAGTGTATAATTAAATAGTGAGATAGTATAGCACCAAAAGATGATTTCAACTATTTATTCCTGCAACGATTATAACATTTTCGGGCGCGAAGCCCGCGTGCGTTCCTGGGAGGTAAATAGCGAAGGATATTCGGGGTTTGAGTAACCAATTAGAGAGCACCTTCGACGCTATCCACTGTTTTAGTATATACTAAATATATGTATCCTATCAAACACCATATGTGAAGTTTGTAGGAAAAAAATAAGAGGAATGCTCGTTATTGATTTTTTAAAGGCACTGAATGTTTGACAAACTGTCAACGACAAAAAAGGATTTTGTGCTTTTTACTATAATGTCACAGTTTTGAACGACTATTACTTGAAGCCACGAGTATGTATTTAAAAATTGGCGTGATTATCGTGTACAGATTAGTTGTTTGAAAAGTTGTGCCAGGTTTTATGATATACGTGTTGTACTGTGTGGTTTAAATGTTTCATCCCCTTCAGAAGATTTTGTATTAAGTACACAGTTTGGAGATTAAGGCGATAGTTAGAAGACTTTTAAAAAGACTGAAGTTCAAACTGTTGAAAGCCAAGTTTCAAGAGAATACATTTGCTTGGAAGACATTATGGCTTGCCAGAGATACAGCAAGGTGGGGCCTTGGAAATGTGCTCTCTTTTTCACCTGATGATGTGGACGTTTACACTACAACCACAAATGTTGGATGAAACAGGCTCACATAAGAACAACACAGTTGGAACCTCAGGGAGAAAGTCAGGTTTTTACAAGTATTTGATAAATTATTAATTGCTGTGATCCACGTGTGTTATGTCAAGGCTGCATGGTAGAATGGATCGTTACGTTTTTGTAGTAGAAGATAACAGAATGATTAAATTAAAGACAACACGGAAGGTTTTATTGCAATAATATACTTGATGGTGATACAAGTTTAAAATAGTGTGTTGCTCTGTCAGCTATATAAACTCGCTTTTGTATCATGAGCAGTTTGTATGAAAACACTGAAATCCGTAGATGTAGTTTTCAGGCGTAGACCTTCGTATTTTTCCCAAAAGGCCAACATGGTTTAATTTATTTAAGTTATCTAAGAGTTGAAGTAACACCCAGCAGAGACAAATAATCATATAAAACATTTTTTTTTCATTATCCGATAGAAGTGTTAAGCGAGGCACGTCTTTTGATCTGGGCTACTGGCTTGTGTTATTGGCATCTTGGCTTTGTTTGCCTTTTCTTTTCATGTATTTATTTGCTCGTTTAACAAATTAACTTTTCCAGGGATATATAAATGATAGTTGTACCCGATGAATTCGTAAGCATAAAGTTATTACTTTGCTGGTACTCTAATTCTCTGTATTTTAGATTTGTATTCATTGCTTTGCATTTATTTGCTTCAAACTCGATTTTTCTTCTATTCTTGCTATTCCCATTACTTTTGCATCGCAGCCTTGACAGTACCAGTCGTAGAAAACTGGGTATTGTGTTCGTAGGACTGGGTTATAACATGGGCTCTTTGTTTTCTTTGCTTATTGTCATCTTTTCCTCTGGTTCTTTATTGATTGGGATAATAACAGTATTAGAATATTCATTTGTGGTTATGAAATCAATAGTAAGCGCCATTTCTATATTTTTTATTTATAGCATCTTTAAAATTAATTTTATTCCCTGGACACTTAAACGATACACTATTTCCTTCTTGCTGTGCTCATCACATTTCTTTTACAGTCACAAGTGTATTAACCTTAGATAACCTGTTCATTGTTGTTGTAGGGTGCTTGTCTATGCTAAACTTTGCCTACAAGCCTTATAAACTGATTTTTTACTAGGAAAGAGAAAAAAGTGTTAAAAAAACTTTTTTAGGCCATGACTTACTTCAAGTAATTAGTAGGGATGTGTGACTTATCCTTTTACCTCTTTATGCACTGGTCACTTGATAAGTCATAAATAATGATGGTAGACTATTAACACTCAGGTGTAACAACCATAGCGATCTTCGTTGTGTTTAGATAGAAAATAATTTGAGATTTTAAGCTTTTATACAACTTTTATTCGGTGATTACTTTGGAAAAAGCTTCTTTACTTGCCCTTACAACACTTGTGATCTTGTTTAAAGTGTTCTCCGCATTTGTTACCTCTCAATTTTCTTCCTAAAATATTTTATTGAAAGTATAAAGGAAAAACATATGTACGTATAGAAAATTTTTTGGGGGGGTGGACGGGGGTGGACGGGGGGGGGGTGGGGGAGAGGGTTGTCCCGACAACTGGTTGCTACGGATTCGTGATCCCATTGAGGATTGATTTGACACGCAGTGTCATAAGTAATAATCCTGAAAGGTTTGTCGTGACAGTTACTAAAGCAAGTGGTGGTTTATTTTTCTGGTATTGCATAAATTGAACCTGTTATGAGTAATATTTGAGTGTAAGTCACCGAAAAACACTACTTTTTTTCCAGGGTATTTTAAACCATGGAAACCTTTCAGTTTTGTTACTTGTGCGTCGTCTTGTTCAATTATTGTATTTTTGTGTTTTTTATTAATTCTGCTTTCATGTTAAGTTGTCAATGACTAGTAACGCCCCAATACTTCACTGGGATCTTTGGATTTAATTAAAGGGCCTTTCTATCCAAAAAATATGTTATTTATAGACTGAAAATACTATACCTCCCTACAAAAAACCCTTATTGATGGATAAGCATGTGTTATCAATAATAATTCTTTTGCAACATTTATCGGTGACATATTTTGTACTGAATATTTAATTATTAACTCTTTCCAGTTAAACTGGTGAAATACATTCTTCCAAATGGATAAATTTTTTAGACGTTTTTTACTACAACTTGTTATTGAGATATGCCCACATTCTTACACACATGTATCCGAAATTTTGTAACAACTAACATTTTTATGTTTGTATAAGCAGAGGTATTTTTAAATGCACAGTCCTCAATTAAATAACATATATGATATAACTACAAGGACATTAAAATAGCGAACTGAGAGAATCGCTTTCACAAAACTAAATGATAACTATTAACGCAGTGGAACAAATTGTATCATTGCGGACAAAGAATGGGGGTAACATAATTTTTTTTATCATAGTTTCGGAGTACTGGCTGCCCAAAAACTTTCGTGCCCCGAGATTTGTCAATGATAACTTTTCCTTTAGTAGAGATGGTGTTGAAATCACTCTCTCTCTGGGTTAGTGTAACTCCTTTGCTATATTCTAGAGAGCTTAGCTCATTTTGCATGTTAAACATAGATGTTTGCCTTATGTGAATTGTGGAAAATATTTTTACGAAATCCGTTTAATTTCATAGTATTACAGATTAGATATTTTTCATGCTTGAAAGAGTACCTTGTGAACATCAGTGGTATTAATGAACACTTTGACTTTGCAGGAATTATTTTATTTGGGTGCTCTTAAAATTTGTTGTCTATAATATAGGCTTAGTATCGTTTGTCTGTATCAGACAGCTTGAAAGAGATGTAGCCTTATCTCACAATGAAAGGCATTATTAACAACCCTTTTTAAGCATGTAGTTACATATTATGGTCACTTTGCAGGTAAAAGGACTTTTCTATGTGTTTATATCAACGATATTTGGTGGTACATACATTTAGATGTTGATAATGTGGAGAGGGGGGACTGTTTTGATCTTCTATTTATTTCTATTTTTGATTTATGTGTTTACATGTTAACCGTGCCATTTAATTAACAATATTTTTTCTGGTTGGTATCACAGAATAAGACTGATAACTCTTCCTTGATAAATACTTCCACTTAATCTATAAGGGGTAGGAGGGGGTATTTTCTAATGTATTTGCCTTTCAGGAACAACCAACTTAATTCGATAGATATTTTCTCAAACAAAGTACTTTAACTATCCTAACTTGTCTTTTACCTGACACTTGTACCATTTTTCGAACTAATGAGTTCTTGTTTGGCTTAAAATATGTAAATGCTGTTTTCTGGGCGGTTATTTTATCGGGATGTGATCATTTCTACATGTGCTTTCTTTATAAAATAACACGGTGAATGTAGAGTTTCTTTTCCCTACATTCACGTACGTAGGTTTTGGATTAACTTGAAATCCATGTACTGACTTAATTTTTCACTTTGATATGAAATTATAAAAGTATTTCTGATAGTTTTGGCAACTTTAAAAAAGCTTTGTTCAAACATTTCCAAAC